AAGCTAGACACTAAGAATAAAGACAATGTGAATACTGAAGATGAAGTTTTTTTCCTTAACACTATCATACTTGGAATGAAGAAGAGAAGTTTTTTCTGCTTGTTTTTCACATTGAGAGCCGAGGTGAGGGGAGATGGTAGGGGAGATGGGGAGCAGGGTGTTGTGTGAGGGTTGGCAGTGTGTAATAATGAATCTGATTTCCATTTTAGGTGTTACACTATTGGCAGCTTTAAGCCTCATTTCTTTCTCTTCCCTGTCCACCCAACAATTGGATAAGCTGATAAAAATGGGAGTTTCTCATCATAAAATAGAAACAAATATGTCTAAACTTAACTAATAGAATTATTGTATTGCCTCAGTTTTCCATAGTAAAATCCCCTATTGTCCTAAAGTATATTCTAGTGCACAATGACAGTCTGATCCAATGAGTAGTAAAATAAATCTTTTGACCTTATAATCAGTTTGAAAAAAAGGATTCCCAATGAGCCTTCCTTCATACTTATAACAATGTTCACCCTTGTTGAAAGAGGACCCAACATAAATGAAAACAGGACCTTCACAGATAGACATATATTATATAAGACCTAGTTAGAGAACGTATAATCATCCCTACTACTTCTGAATTTAACAGCCAAGTTTGACTTGTTTTTAAAACTGAAAACCGTTATTGATGCCTTAGTGTGAATTTTCACATCATTAATGTAATGGTCCCACCAATTAGGGCTCCATATATAGCATTATTAAAATTAAGGATTCTACATAAAAATTGGTAAATAATTATCAGGCATAGAATATTTTACTGACATGTTCTCTTCAGTGAATATTTCAACAAATTATAGCTGCAGTTCACCTTTACCTTTAGACTTAATACATCTTTACTTGAATACTCAGTAGGGCACCTCTCCCATCCTGTTATCTTTCATTATCTTTACAGACAGTATCTTTGCCACATCTAGCTTAGCAAATTAGTCAGATTAGCATATTAACATAGAATATCAGGAGGCTTCCCTAAAGTAGTACTCAATCATGTTTCTCAACCTGCACTTATTTGTGAATCTCATATTGAATCATGTGTCTCAGTTACAAAGTAAATTGTGACTAACACTGTGCCTAAGGGAATGACTTTTACCTTGTGAACCTTTGTTGTGTCTTAACCAGATGTTGGTCCCCTATCTATATAGAGTTTGGTTGGATAGTCTGTTCAATATACAAGTCCATTGGGTAGTCATTCATGGAATTACTATGTGAGATGCTAATGTCATACACCTGAAAGCATAAGACTCACTAGGACCTTGCAAAATATGATTTGGTTTGAGGTTCTCCTGAAGAAAAATAATAAATAAATAAATAAATAAATAAATAAATAAATAAATAGGAGGGGAGTGGAGAAAATCAGTGAAGTATATCCAGTAAAGATTCATACCCTACATGCAACCTGGGAAGGTTGCCTAGAAGAGCCAAGTTTTATAAGGATGTGTGATAATTCATATCTTGATTGAAACATACAAATAGGTATTTATTTCTGTGAGATTTTAGGTAAGACATCCAAAAGACTAGGTAATATGCTGCATTATTCACAACAGCCAAAGTACATAATGTAAGTGTTCATAAATAGATGAATAGATAAAAATGCTATGCATACACACATACACAGCCCCTATACTGCATTGTATCACTTATGTGGAATATAAAAAATATAAAAATCAAGCTCATTGAAACACAGTGTAGAAAAGTGTTTGCCAGTAGCTGAGGGGTGGGGAAAATAAGAGCTTGGTTAACGGGTACAAACCTTCAACTATAACATCAATAACATCTGAGGATTTAATGTAAAAAACAAACCAAAAGATGAAGGTTCTTTCAAAAAAGAAGTCTAGAAAACTGTACATCCATGAGGATCTTAATGAGGCATGACATGATGACTAAAATTTAATATGGTATCCTGGATGGTATCCTCAGGCAGAAAAAGCACATTAAATAAAAACTAAGCAAATCTAAGGCATCAATATGGTAGAACCTCACTTCTTTAACTTGATTTATTTTGAAGGCTGTTTGAGAAGTGATTTGTTCAAAACCCAAATTAGCCCTAGAAAGTTTGTCTCATTGGATCAGCCTGTGAATGAAAGTCCCTAGTTTGTATTCTGGGTAAAGGCATATGCCTGGGCTGTGCTCTGAATCCCCAATAGGTGGGGGTGGGGGGTGGGCATGCAGGAGGCAGCTGGGCAATTATTCTCTAGCATGACTGATGTTTCTATCTCTCTGTCCCTGCACCTTCCTCTTTTGAAATAAATAGAAATATAAAAAGAAAACCAAATAACTTTCCCCATTAGACATATATTTAAATGGAATGAATCCATTCCAGACATAAAGGGTTTCCTGTTTTAACTTTCTTATATACAGTATATGTCTAATGTACTGTTTAAAAAGAAACACTTGTTTTCTTACTTTTATGGAATTGCACCCTGCTAGCCTTAAATGAATCACATTCAGCACTCCTTTCAGTAGTATCCTTCAGGTGGTCAGAAAGAAACATCTTCAACTTTTCATATATCATTGCCTCCCAAATGCTGTCACTGGCAAACTGCTTTTCATTTATCCAAATCAACAACAATTGCTCTACCTCTTCAATTGCCTGTGATTGTTGTTGTATGAGCATTTTCACACCCTTAGCAACATTGGTGCTCTTGATGGCCTCTTTATGTTTTAAATTTTGCTAATCAGAAATTGCCAGCAACAACAACAAAAAAACCTCTCCTTTGTTTGTTGCACAAGAGATGCTTTGAGTCATGCAGAAGTATCAGCATGAAAGGGTTGTCAGGTCAAGAACTGAAGTTTTGTTCCACAACTGGTATTATTATTTTTTAAATATATTTTATTGATTTTTTTACAGAGAGGAAAGGAGAAAGATAGAGAGTTGGAAATATCAATGAGAAAGAAACATTGATCGGTTGCCTCCTGCACCCATCCCCCACTGGGGTTGTTCCCGCAACCAGGGTATGTGCCCTTGACCAGAATCAAACCCGGGACCCTTGAGTCCACAGGCTGACACTCTTTCCACTGAACCAAACCGGTCAGGGCAACATTTGAGGATTTAATGTGAAAAACAAACGAATCAAAAGGTCAGGGTTTTTTAAAACAAGAAGTGTAGAAAACTGTACAGCCATGAGGATCCCAATGAGGCCTGACATGATAACTAAAATTTAATATCATGGATGGGATCTTGGGACAGAAAAAGTACATTAAGTAAAAACTAAGGACATTTTAATAAAATAAAACCATCAATATAGTAGAACCTCATTTCTTGAACTTAATTCATTTCAGAAGGCTCTTTGAGAAGTGATTTGTTAAAAAACCAAATCAGCCCTAGCCAGTTTGTCTCAGTGGATAGAGTGTTGCCCAATGGACTGAAGATACTTGGGTTTGTTTCTGGTCAAAGGCACATGCCTATTTTGTACGCTCAGTCCCCAGTAGAGGGTGTGCAGGAGGTAGACAATCAATTATTATCTGGCATCACTGATGATGTTTCTATTTCTCTCCAACTTCCTTTCTCTTTGAATCCATAAAAATATAAAAAAGGAAAATCAAATCATTTTTCCCATTAGCCATAATGCAACTGTTTTAACCTTTCTTATGTACATGTCTAAATTACTGTTTAATCTGAAAAGAAACACTTGTTTTCTTTTTCTTGTTATTGATTTCAGAGAGGAAGGGACAGGGATAGAGAGCTAGAAACATCAATGTTGAGAGAGAATCATTGATTAGCTGTCTGCTGCATGCCCAACACTGGGGATCAAGCCTGCACTCTGGACATGTGCCCTGACCAGATACTGAACCATAACCTTCTGGTTAATAGGTCTATACTCAACCACTGAACAATGCCAGATTGTCAGCACTTACTTTCTTACATGTATGGAACCACCCCTGTCAGCCTTAAATGAATCACATTCAGCACTCTTTTCAGGAGTATCCTTCAGGTGGTCAGCAAGCACCATCTTCACATTTCCACATACCATTGCCTCCCAAATGTTATCGCAGGCTAACTGCTTTGCATTTATCCAAGTCAACAACATTTTTTCTACCCCTTTAATTGTCTATGATTGTTGTTTTATTAGAATTTTCATACCCTTAGCAACATTGGTACTCTCCATGGCTTCTTTATGTTTTAAAATTGTGCTAATCAGATTTTTCCAGCAACATTAACATTCTCTTCTTTGTTTGCTGCATGATAGATGCTTTGTGTCATGCAGAGAAATCAACATGAAAGGGTTGTCAGGTTAAGAACTGAAATTTTATTGCACAACAGATACATTTAAAAAAAAAATGTGGTCTAGATCTAAATTGATTGATATTGGAGTTGTTAGAGAACTGAAGTTGGGCTATAAATATTTAACTGATGGTTCATCATATGTTATACTTGGAAAATGTCAATATAAGATATTAATAATAAGAGATATTTGATATGAGGTATATGTGTATAATCTTACCAATTTTTTCTGGAAATATAAAACTAGTCTAAAATAAAACCACCATAAAAAGAACACTCAAAATACTAGGTAATGATAATATATGAGGGATTGTAGAATGAGCCACTGAATGGATGTGGGGTATGAGAAATGGCTTAGAGGAAACACCCCCTCCTTGCCATGTGCTGGACAATAACTGAACTAGAAGAAATGGATGAGGGGTCATTTTGGGAAATATTTTAGAAACTATTTAGGAAGAAGCTCCACTTTCTCTACCCATATCATCTGAGTTCTATTTTATAGTCACTCCCCCACACTCCCTCAAGGATGGTCAAGGTGAGGCCTTATAATGTCAAGCCTACCATGGCAACCACTGAATGTTGGCCAATCAGAGGAGATGGGTGCGGCTCTTCATTGTCCTGGAGAGTATATATAGAGGGCAGGAGCCTCTGAACATAGCCTGTTGCTACAACAAAGCCAACTTTACTAAGAATACACTGTAGCATAGTTTAGATAACCAATCAGACTCCAGCTGCAAGAATGGACCAAGTAACTTCAAGTACTAACGGGAATTGGAAGTCTGTTTCCCAACACGGTGACAAAAAAAAGGATAAGGTCAGACTATCCTGCTGAAATGCCCATGCTTCTTTCCCAATAATTTCTCACCCAAGGCTCTGGCCTTGCTCTTTTTTGGCACAGGCACTTCCTTAATCAATCCATTGTCTTTCTTTTACAAGCCCTATTCCCACACATTTCCCAATATCTTCCCCAAAACCAATGTCTTTCTGGGTTTACCTTCTTTCCCAAATAGAAGATGAAGAAAATGGTGAAGGTACGTTCTGTGAAGAAAAGAACGAAAAAGAAAGAATCAGATAATTGCACTTTCCTCCAGTAAGGAAGCCCGCAGATGAAGAAGAAGAAGTACCAGAGTATTCTACTACCACAAGTGATGCCCAGTGTCTCCCAGATGAAGACCCTTAGGTATGTGTAGCTTCTCTACAAAAAAAACTTAAGAAGTGGGCATTATGAGGAGATCAAAACAGAAATGGTCTCCTTGAATAAATACTAGCGTTGTATAAAGGAAATGTGTTTGTATTTTTGTGTGTTCTCTGAGAATGGGTAGGGAGCAAAGTAAGGGCAGATATGTGAGGAGGGAGGGAGGTAAAATTCTGCTAGTTTGTGTATCAGACCAGCGAGTCTATAGTTACACATGTACTGAGAATAAGGACTAGGTGACGACCAAAGAATTTTTTTCCTTAACAGTTTGTAAACACAGATAAGGTAGAAAAAGAGTTGGTGATTTTGCTTGTTTTTGTCACTGGTAAATGGGGGAGAGGCAGAATAGTGTGTGAGGGTTGGCAGTGTATAATAACAAATCTGATTCTATTTTAGATATTAAACTTTTGACATCTTGAACCTTCATTCCTTTCTCTGTGCCATTTAGCTCACATTATAATAGGGAACAAATATGCCTGAACTTAATCATTAGAACTATTGTGTTGCCAAAATTTCCCATAGCCAAAGCACTCATTTCCCTAAAATATTTTCAAGTGCACAATGGGAATCCGGCACAACGAGTACGAAAATTATGTTTTATGCACTTATAACCATCTTGAGGAAAGGGTACCCTGTGCAACTTCTTTCTTATATATAAAACAACTTTCACCCTCATTGAAAAAGGACCCAACAAAAAAAAATATAACCTTCATAGGTTGATTCTTATTGTATGAGGCCTAGTTAGAGAACTAACCATCCCTACTGCTTCTGAATTTATCAGCCAAATTTGACTTGATCTTAAAGATGAAAAGCATGATTGATTCCTCACTGTGAATATTCAGATATTAATGTCATGGTCCCACCCATTATGGATCCACATATAATTTTATTAAAATTACTGGTTCTACACAAAGAAACTGGTAAATAATTAGCAGTCATAGCAAAGTATTTGAATGATGTTCTAGTCCATGCCTATTTTCACAGACTATAGTTACAGTTAAACTTCAACTTTAGAAAAATACTACACCTTTATATTGGTACTAAGTAGTGTACCTCTCTAGTCCTGTTATTTTTCAATATTGTAGACAGTTTCATTACCATATTTACCTAAGCAAATTAGACAGGTTAGCAAATTAACATACAGAATCAGGAGTCCTCCTAAAAGTAATCCTCAATCATTTTACTCAAGCTGGACCTATTTGTAGGTCTCAGATTTAATCATATGTCTAACTGCAAAAATAAGACATGAATGACACTATGTTTACCTTGTGAACATTTGTGTCATCTTAACCAGTTTGGACCCCTTTCTATGTAGAGCTCGTTTGGGTAGTCCATAGAGTTGTCAATCATTGAGTAATAGCAGTTACTATGTGGGATGCTAATGTCACAATTCTGAAAGCAGAAGACTAACTAGGACCTTGTATAATCTTTCTGCTGTTGCTCTCCACCTCTCTCTCTCTCTCTCTCTCTCTCTCTCTCTCTCTCTCTCTCTCTCTCTCTCTCTCTCTCTCTCTCTCTCTCTCCCTCTCTCTCTCTCTCTCGAAAAACCCAGGATCCTGATCCTAAGGGTTCTAGGGAGATATATCCATTCCAGGAGAAACCTTTGGCAAAGCCAATAGAAGCGTTCATCCACTGTCCTGGGGAGTTTCATAACCTTGATGGTACTGACTACATTTGAGGATCTCCTGAAAAAAAAATGAATATTAGAGGAGTAGTAGAGACAACCAATGATGTATATCCAAGAGATACATACCACAAATGCAACATGAGAAGGTTGTCTGGAAAAGCCAAGTGGTGGAGGAAAGTGTGATAACACATGTCTTTATTGAAATATAAAAATGGGTATTTAGTTCTGCAGAGTTTTGGGTAAGACATCCAAAATACTAGGTAATATGCTGCACTATTCACAACAGCCAAAATATGTAATGTTAGTGTTCATCAATAGATGAATGGATAAAAATGTTATGCACACACAAATACACAGACCCCAACAGCACCACATCATATATATGTGGAATATTAAAAATAAAAACAGGCCAACTCATTGAAACAAAGAGTTGAAAAGTGTTTGTCAGCTGTTGAGGGGTGGAGGAAATATGAAGATCTTAGTAAAAGAGTACAAAGCTTCAACTATAACATCAATATCTTTTTAGGATTTAATGTATAAACAAAAAAAACACAAAAGTTTAATGTTTTCTAAAACAAGAAGTCTAGAAAACTGTTCCAACATGAGGACCCCAATGAGGCATGGCATGATGACTAAAATTTAATATGGTATCCAACATGGGATCCTGGGGCATAAAAAGCACATTGAGTAAAAATAAGGAAATCTTAATAAAATAAAGATTTCAATAAAGTTGAATTCACTTCTTGAACTTAATTTGTTTCAGAAAGTTGTTTGAGAAGTGATTTGTTCAAAACTCAAATCATATCTAGCCAGTTGTCTCAGTGGATAGAACATCAGTCTATGAACTGAAAGCTCCACTGTTCTATTCTGGTCAAAAGCACATGCCTGGGTTTTGGACTCAATCACAAGTAGGGGTTTTGCAGGAAGTAGACATTCCATTATTTTCTAGCACCACTGATGTATCTATCTCTGTCTTCTCGGCCTTCCTCTTTTGAACTCAATCCTATATAATAAGATGCTAATATGCAAACAAACCGAACCACAGAACAACCAAACAACCAATCAAACAACCAGTAATTATCAGGCATGCTGACCACCATGGGCTTGCAGAATATGGTGGGCATTGGCAGAAGTTTTCAGAACATGGGACATGGTGGGCATTGGCCATAGGGAGATGGTGGAGCAGGTGAGTATGGGTACCGATCTCAATGGGGAGCAAGTTGCTGTCATCAGGGTGAACCTATGGTGATTATTAAAAAGTGTTTCCTTGCATTCCATGGTCCCACCTGGTGCTCCCACCTGCTGCTGATGTCGGCCCCACTTGCACCACAGTCAGTGCTGGAGCCTCCACAAGCACTCACTGCAGGTGAAGATCCAGATTGTTCAGTGCCATCAGTTGGTGCAAGCAGCAGCTACGGGCCCCGATCTCCTCTGAGGGTTTCTCCACTGCCCTCTTCTTTTAAAGGGCAATCGGGGCAGCAGCTGCCTTTTGCACCCACTGTTGCTACCAGCCAATATCACTCTGTGCCTGTGAGCTGGGCTGGCACAGATAGTGCAAGAGAACAGCAGGAGTAGTGGTGGCATTGCCAGCAGACAGGAGACAGTGGTAGTGGTGGGATGGGTTGGGCAGGGGCATAGAGGATGGGCTGAGATATGCTCCTGTGACCACCACAGCCTCAAAGTCAACAGTTCCTTTCAAAGTGCACAAATTCATGCACTGTGTCCCTACTAGAAATATAAAAAGAAAATTAAATAATTTTTCTGATTAGACATATATTTAAATTTAATGAATTCATTCCACACACAAATGATTCACTGTTTTATCTTCCTTATATAAAGGACATGTCTAAGGTACTATTTAATCTTTTAAAAAATACTTGTTTTGTTTTGTTTTTAATTTATGGAACCACCCCCTGTCAGCCTTAAATGAATCACATTCAGCACTCCTTTCAGGAGTATCCTTCAGGTGGTCAGGAAGCATCATCTTCACATTTCCACAGACCATTGCCTCCCAACTGCTATCACAGGCTAACTGCTTTGCATTTACCCAAATCAAGAACAATTTCTCTACATCTTCAATTATCTGTGATTGTTGTTTTATTAGCATTTTCACATCCTTAGCAACAGAAAGGTGCTCTCCATGACCTATTTATGTTTTAAAATTGTGCTAATCAGATTTTTTCAGCAACATTAACATCATCTTTTTTTTTTGAATGATAGATGGTTATTGTCATGCAGAGAAATTAGCATGAAAGGGTTGTCGGGTCTAGAACTAAAGATTTATTCCACAACAGGTAGTACATATATTTTTTTAAGTAGTCTAGATCCAAATTGATTGATATTGGAGTTGTTAGAGAACTGAAGTTGTACTATAAGTGTTTCACTGATGGTTAATCACATGTTATAATTGGAACATGTCAATATAAGATATAAGAGATATTTGATATGGGGTATATGTGTATAATCTTACTAGTTGTTTTTGTTTGTTTGTTTGTTTGTTTGTTTTGAAAATCTAAAGCTAGTCTAAAATAAAAACACCATTAAAAAAAGCTCAAAATACTAGGTAATGATAATATATGGGGATTGTAGAATGAGCCGCTGAATGGATGTGGGGTATGAGAAATGACTTAGGGGAAACACCCCCTCCCTGCCATGTGCTGGGAAATAATTAAACTAGAGTAAATGAGTGAGAAGTCACTTTGGGAAATATCTTAGAAACTATTTAGGAAGAAGCTCCACTTTCTCTAAACATATCATCTGAGTCCTATGCATAGTCACCCCCACACACAATCCCTCAAGAATGGTCTAGCTGATGCCTTGTGATGTCAAGCTTACCATGGCAACCACTGAATGTTGGCCAATCAGAGCTGATGGTCCAGGAGCCTCTGGATATGGCCTGTTGCTACAACAAAGCCAATGTTACTAAGAAAATACTGTAGCCTAGTTTAGATAAGGAGTCAGACTCCAGCTGCAAGGATGGACCAAGAAACCTCAAGTACTAAAGGGAATTGGAAGTCCGTTTCCCAAAATGGTGACAATAAGAAGGATAAGGTCAGACTATCCTACTCTTATTCCCCTGCTTCTTTCCCAATAATTCCTCACCCAAGGCTCTGGCCTTGCTCTTTTTTGGCATACACTTCCTCAATCAATCATTGTCTTTCTTTTACAAGCCCATTCCCACACATTTCCCAATATCTTCCCCAAAACCAATGTCTTTCTGTGTTCACCTTCTTTCCCAAATAGAAAATGAAGAAAATGGCGAAGGTATATTC